GCTCTTGGACCGAGGCATAAAGAGCTTCTCGGCAACTGCACCCATGACTGAGCAGCCCCTATTCAGGGTCCACTCTGCTCACCCCAGTAGGGGAGGGGGTTAGAAAAGTTACCCCAAACATAGCCTGCCTCACAAAATCCTGTCTGGAATACCGCATCCCAACCGAACTGCCATCATTTCCAGAGAGCTAGGGAACTTCCAGATCGACATTGCAGCGCTCTCCGAGACCCGACTGGCTGATGAAGGGCAGCTGAAGGAGGAAAAAGGCGGATATGCTTTCTTTTGGAAAGGAAAGCCTGCAAATGAGCCACGAATCCATGGTGTGGGTTTTGGGCTATTAAGAACTGCCTCATCAACCACCTCCATGAACTCCCTGTGGGCATCAACGAGCACCTAATGACCATATGTCTGATGCTTGCCAGCAGTCAGATGGCCACCGTTATTAGTGCCTACGCCCCAACGCTTGATGCACAGGATGAAGTAAAGGAGGCCTTCCATGCTGACCTGTACAAAATTCTATCTGAGGTCCCCAAGGAGGACAAGTTAATCCTGCTTGGAGATTTCAATGCCAGAGTGGGACGAAACCACCACCTATGGAGAGGCACGCTGGGGAGAGAAGGGGATGGAAACACAAACTCCAATGGCATAGTACTGCTAACCAAGTGCTCAGAGCACAACCTGGTCATCACCAACACACTTTTCCGTTTCTCGCTCCAAACTATGACATTTCATTGATTATGTCATTGTCCGCTCCAAAGACCGCTGTGATGTCCTTAACACCAGAGCAATGACCAGTGCAGACGACTGCTGGACTGACCACCGCCTCATTCGCTCCATCATGTCTATCCGCTTAATGCGGAAAAGAAGGATGCAGAAAAGACAGAGCCGGCCAAAGCTTAACATTGACCTGACACCACCTACCAACAACAGCTGCAGGATGCTCTGTCTTGCCTTGCCCAGACAGTATTCGGAGGATACTGAAAAACACTGGGGCACACTTTCTATTGCCATCATGAACTCCTGCAAAAACATTCTTGGTCAAAAAAAGCGGAGACATCAAGACTGGTATGATGAGAATGACACCCGAGATTCAGCAACTCATTGACATCAAGCGGCAAACTTTCATCACCTGGCAAAATAACATCCACTGCAAGGTGAAAAGAGCAGCCCATGCCAAAGCGAAGGCAGCCGTCCAAACGCAAGTTAGGAAACTGAAGAACCAGTGGTGGACGAAGAAGGCTCTGGAGATCCAGCAGCTTGCCGACTCTGGTGATACAAGAGGATTCTTTGATGCCACAAGAGCGGTATATGGTCCCAGCTATCGCTGCCTAACCCCCCTTCGCTCTAAAGATGGGCTCTTGCTTCTGAAGGACAAGGATGAAATAGCAAACAGGTGGAAAGAGCACTATAAGGACCTCTTAAACAGGGACACCATTCCTGAGATGGAGGCTCTTGACCAACTCCCTCAACAGCCCATAGTTGAAGGCATGGGAGAACCACCCAGCCTGGGTGAGGTGCTGGATACCATTAAGAATATGAAAAACAACAAGGCTGCTGGGTCCGACGGCATCCCAGCAGAAGTCCTGAAGAAAGGCGGACCCGATCTTCTTAAGCACATCCATGCCCTGCTTCTCAAAATCTGGGAAGAAGAGGAAATCCCTGCTCAGCTTAGGGATGCCTTAATTGTCTCCATATTTAAGAAGGGAGACAGGGCAGACTGCGGAAATTACCGTGGCATTTCTCTCTTGTCCACCATAGGGAAAGCCCTAGCTCGGGTGTTGGCCAACAGACTCACCCCCCTGTCAGAAAGCATCCTTCCTGAGTCTCAGAGTGGATTTCGCCCAAACAGAGGCACTACAGACATGATTTTCATTACTTGCCAACTGCAAGAAAAATGCCGGGAACAAAATCAACCATTATACATGGCCTTCATAGACCTCACCAAAGCCTTCGACTCAGTGAACCGTCAGGCCCTCTGGCTGGTACTGGCAAAGATTTGCTGCCCAGAAAAATACGTCCGGGTACTGAGACTGCTGCATGACCATATGTCAGCCACAGTACTCAGTGGCAGACGAAACTGAACCCTTCCGGGTCAACACAGGAGTCAAACAGGGATGTGTCATCGCTCCAACGCTATTCTCCATCTTTGTTGCTGCTATCCTACATCTCACAAGCAAGCATCTACCCCAGGGAGTCAACATCATGTACAGAACTGACGGCCAACTCCTCAACATCAACCGTTTCAGGGCTAAAGGTCAAACCACCACCATATCGATCATGGAGATGCAGTATGCGGACGACAACGCCCTTGTAGCCCTCTCGGAAGAGGACCTACAGGGTATCCTATCAGCCTTTGTGAAAGCATACAACAGCTTGGTCTAGCCATCAACATAAAAAAGACCCAAATCCTCCACCAACCACCACCAAACAGCAGTACGCCTGTCCTACCCCCAAACATCTCCATTGACAACATCAGACTGGAAAATGTGGACTACTTCCCATACCTTGGCAGCCTCCTATCATCACAAGCTGTTATTGATGATGAAATACACCATCGCCTCAGCTGTGCCAGTGGGGCTTTCTCAAGGCTAAGGAAGAGAGTCTTTGAGAACCGTGACCTCTAAGCAAAGACCAACATATTGGTCTATAAAGCTGTGGTGCTCCCCACTCTTCTGTATGGATCAGAAGCCTGGACCACATACAACAGGCACTTAAAGGCACTTGAGGCATACCATCAGACATCCCTCCGAAAAATCCTCAGGATTAGCTGGGAGGATCGGAGCACTAACACCAGCGTCCTGGAGGAGGCTGACATTCCCACCATCACTGCCACCATTGCCCAAAACCAGCTCAGATGAACTGGCCATGTTATCCGCATGCCTGACTCTCGCCTCCCAAAACAAGTCCTTTATTCCCAGCTTGTTAAAGGGAAACGGGCCCCTGGAGGCCAAAAGAAGAGGTACAAAGATAACATAAAAACAAACCTAAAGAAGTGCCAAATAGACCTAAAAGCTTGGGAAGACATGGCAACAGACAAGGTGACCTGGAGAAACCTTGTCCGTGAGGGTGCTGCACTATATAATGATGACCTCTGCCATGCTGCACAAGACAAGCGCAGACTCAGGAAGGAGAGAGCAACCACCAAACAGGTCCAACCCAAACCCTCCACCACTACATTCCCCTGTCCACACTGCACAAGAATAATCGGGTCCAGATTCGGCCTCTATGCCCACCTGAAGACCCACAAGGACCAAGAAGGAGGACAGTCATACTCGACTACGAGTGACCGCTGATGATGATAGTGTGTGTGTGTGTGTGTGTGTGTGTGTGTGTGTGTGTGTGTGTGTGTGTGTGTGTGTGTGTGTGTGTGTGTGTGTGTGTGTGTGTGTGTGTTACATACCCGGCTCCATTGAGCGTGTGCGGGGGTTGCACTGCTTGTGGCCTCTGCAGGCTCTGAGCTCCATCAGCTGCACATGAAGCTGGTTGAGGACGGTCCGGTCCAAAGAGCTCACGGCGTTTATCAACTGGAGACAAAGAGAGAGGAAACAGAGAGGTTGACCAATCACAACAGAGCTGGCCAGCTAACCAATAAGAGCAGACTGGGCTCTGGTTTCAGACAGAGGGTGAAAAGAGGTGCTGCAGCACAGGCAGTGTGAGAAAAATAAAGAGCTTTTTGAACATTAAAGCATGGAGACATGTAGAGACACTACATACTGATATACACCTGAACATCAGCAGGAGAGGACTCTTTAAAGTAGAGACACTACATACTGATATACACCTGAACATCAGCAGGAGAGGACTCTTTAAAGTAGAGACACTACATACTGATATACACCTGAACATCAGCAGGAGAGGACTCTTTAAAGTAGAGACACTACATACTGATAAACACCTGAACATCAGCAGGAGAGGACTCTTTAAAGTAGAGACACTACATACTGATATACACCTGAACATCAGCAGGAGAGGACTCTTTAAAGTAGAGACACTACATACTGATATACACCTGAACATCAGCAGGAGAGGACTCTTTAAAGTAGAGACACTACATACTGATATACACCTGAGCATCAGCAGGAGAGGACTCTTTAAAGTAGAGACACTCCATACTGATATACACCTGAACATCAGCAGGAGAGGACTCTTTAAAGTAGAGACACTACATACTGATATACACCTGAACATCAGCAGGAGAGGACTCTTTAAAGTAGAGGCACTACATACTGATATACACCTGAACATCAGCAGGAGAGGACTCTTTAAAGTAGAGACACTACATACTGATATACACCTGAACATCAGCAGGAGAGGACTCTTTAAAGTAGAGACACTACATACTGATATACACCTGAACATCAGCAGGAGAGGACTCTTTAAAGTAGAGACACTACATACTGATATACATCTGAACATCAGCAGGAGAGGACTCTTTGAAGTAGAGACACTACATACTGATATACACCTGAACATCATCAGGAGAGGACTCTTTAAAGTAGAGACACTACATACTGATATACACCTGAACATCATCAGGAGAGGACTCTTTAAAGTAGAGACACTACATACTGATATACACCTGAACATCAGCAGGAGAGGACTCTTTAAAGTAGAGACACTACATACTGATATACACCTGAACATCAGCAGGAGAGGACTCTTTAAAGTAGAGACACTACATACTGATATACACCTGAACATCAGCAGGAGAGGACTCTTTAAAGTAGAGACACTACATACTGATATACACCTGAACATCAGCAGGAGAGGACTCTTTTAAAGTAGAGACACTACATACTGATATACACCTGAACATCAGCAGGAGAGGACTCTTTAAAGTAGAGACACTACATACTGATATACACCTGAACATCAGCAGGAGAGGACTCTTAAAGACACTACATACTGATATACACCTGAACATCATCAGGAGAGGACTCTTTAAAGAAGAGATACTACATACTGATATACACCTGAACATCAGCAGGAGAGGACTCTTTAAAGTAGAGACACTACATACTGATATACACCTGAACATCAGCAGGAGAGGACTCTTTAAAGTAGAGACACTACATACTGATATACACCTGAACATCATCAGGAGAGGACTCTTTAAAGTAGAGACACTACATACTGATATACACCTGCATCAGCAGGAGAGGACTCTTTAAAGTAGAGACACTACATACTGATATACACCTGAATATCAGCAGGAGAGGACTCTTTAAAGTAGAGACACTACATACTGACACCTGAACATCATCAGGAGAGGACTCTTTAAAGAAGAGACACTCAGAGATGGAGCACTCGAGTCCTGGCAGATTTCGCGCACAAATTTCGTGAATTCTCGCGCACGATGACTTGGACTCGGACTCATGAATTCTCGCAAACGCTGACTCGGACTCGTGGATTTCCCCCCCCCACGATGACTCGAACTCGACTTGTACATTGACGCTCAGACTTAGACTCGGACTCGAGCAAGTTTTCTCTGGAGTCTGATGTCCTCTATCCTGGCATGTGCACCTGTGAGGCGAGTTTGCGTACTGGGCCCCGCTATTCCAGTCTAAAGATGTCTAGAGACACACCCCGCATCGTGCTGTATGCTTTCACACATTCTGCTTCCACATTGGAAAAGAGCAGCACAAAATGCTCATTATGTGGAAACAATATTGAAGAGAAGGCTCCGTAACACATTACTCTAAGGATCGAGTTCAGACATATAGGCTATCTTGAACACTATCATCAGAGTAACGTGATCTAATCAATAAATAAAGATTCAGCCAATAACACGAAAGCACATGGCTACTTAACATGCAGGTCATTTTGCATGCTAAGTAGCCATGTGCTTTCTGGGGCTAAATCTTTATCAGTAAACCGATTTAACTGGTAAAAGTTCCTTCAAAATAAGAGTCCCGATCTTATTACTATCAAAATAAAAGTGCAAAACCAAAACTTTATCATAGAAAAATGTTGGCATACAAATATAATCACTTGTCTAAAAGGTAACTCATTTTAAATATAGTTAGACATATTAAAGGTAATTTACAATAATAATATTAATATTAGTAATACGCTTTATATTTGTAGCACTTACAATAATTGTAGCCAAACTCGCTTCACAGCAGTTCAATAGACAGATTAGTATAACATGACAGGATAAAAGCAATGTAGAGGAGCAGCTACATTTCAACACATATATCCACAAAGATTAATACATGAAGATTATTAACAAAGCACTTTTATACTAATAAAGGACTGGCTTATCTAAAGCCAGTTTTCTTCAAGGTTGTATCTTCCTGGTCGAATGCACTTATTGTAAGTCGCTTTGGATAAAAGCGTCAGCTAAATGCAATGTAATGTAAAGACTTGTGACTCGGACTTGACTTGGACTCTTCTTAGGTGACTCGGACTTGGACTCGGACTCCAACACAGGTAATAATGACTCGGACCCGGACTCGACTCGGACACTCCTTGGGTGACTAGGACCTGGACTCGGACTCGAAGAGTGGTGACTCGAGAGTGACTTGGACTCGTGAATTGGTGACTTGACTACAACACTGCTACATACTGATATACACCTGAACATCAGCAGGAGAGGACTCTTTAAGTAATAAAGTTGTTCTTGAGCTTTTTGAAGTTTGTGTGTGTGTGTGTGTGTGTGTGTACCTGATATGGGTCTGTGGTGAGGTCGAAATACTCCAGGAAGCCGGTGGCAAACTCACAGAACAGGAAGTTGTGTGTCTCGTTGATCGTCCTCAGACACCAGTAGGTGTTGTTGTTGGCGCTGGTGCAGGCGCAGAACGAACCCACTGCAACACACACACACACACACACACACACACACACACACACACACACACACACACACACACACAGATATCATACAGTGCACTACATCTCTTGAAAAACAGAATATTAAATGTATCATAAAGATTTATTTTGGCATGTAGAAGTATGTGTGTGTGTGTGTCTGTCTGTGTGTGTGTGTCCGTACATGTCCAGAAGGGAGCAGTGTGCCAGTGCTGGTTGTCGTGAGTGAAGCAGGTGAGTCCGGGCATCGAACAGGTGTCGTTGTTTCTGATCCTCTTGATCATCTTCCTCATCTTCTTCCTCCTCTTCTGCTCCTTCAGAATCCACTCCTTCTTGTCCCGAGTGCCGCCCTTCCTGCACACACATTAAAAACACACACACCGGTTACACACAAGTCATCAGCAAATATATGCTAGAGTCAACTGTCAAATGTTATTCCACCACCCAGCACAACAGGTAAGAGGAAAAAACACATATGAGATTTTGGGGGAAACTGTCCAAAGATATTTTCATGTAGAGGTATGTCTCCCACTTTGACACACAAAGATGACATCGACCTCAGGCGTCGGATGCAAATATCAAACGTTCATCATCAAAAACTATTTCTGAGAACATCTGGCAGTGACTGGATCTTTAGACTATTGTGTCTCTTAAATTCAAGATCAAAATGTGTGATTTAAACATTAACAATGGCAGGTGTAATGACAAGAAAAAGGGAGACTATTAGAAATCAAACTTGCACTTCAACATGGATACTTTAGACTTTTGCATCACACATTATATGATGTTAAATGTGAACATCAGCTTTCCCAGACCAGAACAGACCCGGTCCAACTTGAAATCAAGCATATCGAATCAAGACCTCTTTTAATCGTCACACATGTGTACACAGCATCGCCACACAGTGAAATTGGCCATAAACTAATTGGTCAAATTGAAGATTTATTTGAGGGAAAAAAGGGGATAAATGGTCAATGGTTCGATCCCAAAGCCCCGCAGTCAACATGTCGAAGTGTCCTTGGTAAAGGACTCTTCTGGGACTCAAACCAGCAACCCTTCTCTTCCTAAGCCAGGTCCCTACAGACAGAGCTGGTAAACATCAGTTTAATGTTCAAGACATCGATCTTCTCTGCTGCTTCTCTACTGAGCGTTGGTCTCACCTGAAGGGGTGCCCGCCACCTCTGAACCTCAGCTTATTCTTCAGTTTGGACTTAAACCTGAAAAAGATACATGTTAACACCTGCTGTGACAACAAGCGGGGTATTATTCTGTGTGTGTGTGTGTGTGTGTGTGTGTGTGTGTGTGTGTGTGTGTGTGTGTGTGTGTGTGTGTGTGTGTGTGTGTGTGTGTGTGTGTGTGTGTGTGTGTGTGCATTGGTCTCACTTACAGATACTTATTACAGTCACACTTTAGCGGCCGGGCCTTCTTCAGGTGACCTCTGACCTCTCGCAGGTTCTTTATCTTCGTCTGCAGCGTCTCAATCTGAAAAACATGTATAATGAGTTGACAAACTACAACTGTACAAACCTGATTTTTCTTTCATATGTATGAGTAATGATAATCAATTGATATGAAATAATATTTAAACAGTTACAGGAGACATTTTTCATACTTTAGCTACATTTCCTGATATAAATACTTATTGGTAACTTTGAGGTAATAGTACTTTTACTCAGTTAAAGGCTCTGAGTGTTCTCCCAGCAGGCAGTGTGTTACCTCGTGGTCGATGTGCAGCTTGTGGTCCTTCCAGGCCTGCAGAGACTGATACACTCCAGTATCACACTTCACTGTGGCGTTCGGGAGAAGGAAACATCTGCAGAAAGAGAGAAATCCTGTATTAACCAGGTGAGAAGAATACACAAAGAGCAGAATATATATATAAATAGATAAACATCAGGCCTTATAGAAGCTGACGGAGCAGAACACACACTTTTATCCTGGTTGTTTAAGTTTATAAAACAAAGATTATTCAGGAGAACAAGCTGAGCTATCTGATGATTCTCATTAGTCATGATTAAACACTAACATTCATCTGAATTCCAACCAATGTAAATGAGCCCAAGTTATAGACTGTGTAGAAACAAGAATATATTCAGGGAACACTTCATAGAGATCAATGACGGGGTCTTATGATCAAAGACATCATATTTCTTCTGGGAAAGAAGGATGGAAACACTTTTAGGGTGATTACAGAACTTAACTTCATTTTTAGGAATATGAACCTTCAAGTACACCTTTTATGTTTGGAAAAAATGGTTAAGCTTAATTTTGTAAGTCTGTGATTTCTCAATCATTTTCTAGAAAGCTTCTTTTAAAAATCGATATTCTGGTATTTATTCCTAAGAAAGATAAAGTTAAAATGTCTTGGAGCTGTTAGATTTAACTGCTGCCTTTGACACTGTGGATCATAGTATCCTGTTGTCACGGCTTGAACAGTCCGCAGGCATTACAAGCTCTGCTCTTGCATGGTTCAGGTCTTATTTGATGGACCGTAGCTTCTCAGTGCAGTTAGGTGCCTTCTCCTCTGCCAAAGCCCCTCTTACCTGTGGGGTTCCCCAAGGCTCGATTCTGGGCCCCATCCTTTTTCTATTGTACATACTGCCCCTAGGTTTATCTAGGTTTATCTGCCTCTCAATCAAAATGCCAACTCACTACAGCAGTTGAAGGACTGCTTAACAGAGATTAAATCCTGGCTGAGCCAAAACTTCCTCACCCTTAATGAGAGTAAGACCGAGGTCATCTTTTTTGGACCCCAACCAACAGTCTCCCCGGTTGATATTCTGGGCTCCCTCAATAAAAATATCCTCCCCTCTGTTATGAACCTTGGAGTGACCTTCAACAGCGCCTTTACATTTGATAAGCAGGTTAGCACTGTAGTCAAGACCTGCTTTTTCAAAATACGACTATTGGCTAAGTCGTTTTTATCTTTTAAAGACCTAGAAAGGGTTATTAACGCCTTTGTTACCTCGAGACTGGATTACTGCAATGCGCAGTAATGCAATGGACCAGGCCTCAATTAGACGCCTCCAGCTAGTTCAGAACGTAGCTGCACATCTTCTCACTGGCCATAAAAGCACGACCATATCACCCCAATTCTGGCTTCATTGGATTGGCTTCCAGTTCGGTTCAGAATAGATTTTAAACTCCTTTTATTTGTTTTTAAAGCCCTAAATGGGCTGGCTCCTGCCTATATAGCCAAACTCCTCCATCGCTACACCCCAGGCAGAGCCTTAAGGTCGGCTGATCAGCTTCTGTTGATAGTGCCTAAGACCAGGCTTAAAACCATAGGGCATCGAGCTTTTGCAGCGTCTGGCCCTAGGCTCTGGAACACTTTGCCCCTCCATGAGAGGTCGGCCCAGACCCTGGGGGTTTTTAAATCAACACTTAAAACTCACTTTTTCTCTCTGGCTTTTGTTTAATTATCTATTTATTCATTTATTTATTTATTATCGGGGGAGTGCATCTGACGAAGAGATATGTTGTTGTGCTCCCTATCTCTGTTTCTTATCCTATATCTAATAGAACTGCTCGGGTCTTGATAGATTGAGTGGGGAAGTCCATGAGATCTTTCTAGAGGGTTATCAAGAATAACTTTTATCCAATGACCTTTTCCCTCTCTGTCTGTGTCTGTGTATTCTCTTGTTCCGATTAACCCAGCCAAATCTTTTTTCTTGTTTTGTATCTATATCTACGCCGGGAACCGGAGTCGAGGCTGATCCTCTTGCTGTAGTCCTGTGTCTTGGATCCTCGATCCTGCGTTCTGGATTAAGTCGTGGACTTCGGGTCGTGGCTGAACCTGTCTCTGCGGTCCTGCCTTGGATCTCGTCATGCTGCTTCCCTGATGGCTTCCATAGGATTGTAGCTGACATCCTCACACACACACACACACACACACACACACACACACACACACACACACACACACACACACACACACACACACACACACACACACACACACATACACATACACTCACTTGTGTGTGACCTTGTGTGAGTTGGGCAGAGAGACGCCGTTGGGATCTCCCCCCATTCCGCTGAACTCATCCTCGTCGCTGATTGGCTGAGGCCACTCTTCCCCTCCCACCATGCTGTCGTTACCGGGGTAACTGTTCGTCATGGACACCGAGCGGCTGTAACGGTTCCTGGAGTAACTCTTCAGGGTTTTGAACTCTGAAACACACACACAGTATTGTTGGTATTTAAATTGTATCACAGTGATTACCACTGCATTTATTTACTATATTTTCAATTAAAGTTATGAGGAAAGTGAGGCAGAACTTTTTAAAAGCCTTTTTCACTGAAACCTCACATCTCTGCAGGACCAGAGTGGCTGCAGTTCTGATCTCAAACACTAGAGGTCAGCATCACACCAGGAAGTACAGGTGAGTTTACTGAAACCACACCGGTAGAAACACTGAAAGAAAATATGAGTTTGATTTCCATAGAATCACTCAGATGTACGAACATAATTAAGAGGATATTCTGAAGAAGAGAGAACCCATCTGAATGGTCGGCATTGTGAATTATCCAGTTTCCATTTGTGTCTCTTCACGAGATCAAATGAGAATGAAACACTGAGAAACTGGAAGAAACACTATTATGTTATTAATCATCCACTATAAGTAATCATGGTGAAACAAGTTTGCACCCTAACGAAGGAAACACAAGAGGCTCTTCACTTTCTGCGGTTTTCTTGTTTCAGGCGGAGGAATTATTTGTAATAAAGGACGTGATGGGAGTCACAGGACTTTGTTTAACTGATTAGCAGCAGGCAAAATGTTGCTGCCATTGCCGACAAATGTGAAACCATCCCCAACTTTTATTTGGCTGCTAGCGATGTGATTAAACTAAACTAGTCTTTTCAAATGAGTCTTTTAACTGCACGGTATTTACAAGGTAAGCCTTTTGAATATAGGAGTTGTCATGAATCTCCAGTTGTACCACTCCCAGGCCAATCTGCATGCAAAAAGAATAAAAACTCAGAAGGTATAAAAGGCTAGATAAAGGGACTCTGGATCGCTCAATGGTTAGCATATATGCCCTGTCTGCTGCCAAGAAAGTTTGACTCCGAGCCTGCAAAGGTTTCAGGCCACTTCATCCCCTCTATCTTGTATCTCCAATAAAGGCACTCATTTGCCCAAAATGATATAAAAAATATTATAAAATTCAGTCTGCACATCACAATTCATCATAGCGGTGTGTCTCTTATCACAGTTCATGAGTCACTGCTGACCCCTGTTGGATCAAACATGAACACTCACTCTTCTTGGAGAAGAAAGGCTTCTTGTTGAACGGCCTCATCATGGAGGGTCTCGGGTTCAGAGGTCGGAGGTCACTGAGGTCGCAGTCACAGTCTTCAGAGTTACGTCTGTACTTCTGAGACTTGATGCTGAGAGGACGCTGACGCCCGAAGATCTTAGCTGCTGCTCCGCCTTCATTCTTACATTTGGAGAGGCGGAGTTTACCTGTGGCGTCCTCCACACACTGCCACTTCTACACATACACACACACACACACACACACACACACACACACACACACACACACACACACACACACACACACACACACACACACACACACACACAAAGAAAACAGTACTCAGAGAGAATTCTGCAAAAGGGTTGATCCTCGACACAAAACGTAGTTACTAACTTACGTAACTTTCGAAATAAACTTCATTATTCAAATTAAATAAAAATTCTATGGCTTTATACTCATTTTTAACATCAGAGAAGATCGGAAGACTTCAATATAAAGTATGAATAAGGAGGAATGATTCATAAGGATACAGTATTGTTACCTCTATAGTAAAGAAGTTGGATCAGGAGGAGACGGATTAGACTTGAAGTTCATTGAATCAGGAATACAATTATGGGTTAAGATAAGAAATAAAGTAATAGGATCAGGCTGAAAGTAAATAATGTAGACAAAAGCTACAGGCTAGTTTATCCTATAGGTTATATTACACCAACTATGAAAAATACTTTAATTAAGTTGTCAAAAGAAGTTGAGAAATAAAATAGAACAACAGACATAATTGTGCACGTAAAATGCAAGAAACAAACTGGGGCTTGGACCAGGACCTTCTGATTGGAGGACAAGAGCAGCAGCTCTATTCGTTTTTGTTTTCATTCTGCAGCTGTTTGTTACCAGGAGCTGAACACGTCTCTTCTGTTGCACACACACACACACACACACACACACACACACACACACACACACACACACACACACACACACACACACACACACACACACACACACACACACACACACACACACACACACACACACACTCCCTCTCTCTTTCTCTCTCACACACACACACACACACACACACACGGACACACACATACACACACACACACACATACCATGTCTACATCACTTCAGGGGACATTACATTGACTTACATGCATTTCCTGGAGACTTATCCTAACCTTAACCATAACCAACACATGCCTAACCCTAACCCTAACCCTAAACCTAACCAAGTCTTCACCCTAAAATTAATGATTCCCCTTATGGGGACCTCCAATGTATCCCCATAAGGGAGGTGAGTCCCCACACGTGACTGTGTAAACAGATTTAGGTCCCCATAAGTATAGTAATGCTAGGCCACACACACACACACACACACACACTCTTTTCTGCAGGGTGTTTATCGGAGGGATCCAGCAGCCTGCAGACAGAATCGCTGAGCGACTAATCAACAAGCTGAGGGGATTCTTCGACAAGTGTAATTAACTTCAAACAAGCATGAACACACACCCACACACCCACACACATACACACACACACACACACACACACACACACACACACACACACACACATCGTGATTCCCTTCACGTCTGTGCTCTTTGGTTCTGCCGCTCTCAGTCCATTGTGTTGCTCCTCTCTTCTTTACTGCTGTTATTTGTCTGGTTTCTACAGATCTGGTTTTCATCTCCCTGACAGATGTCCCTCTCTGTTCCACTCGCTGTCTTTCAACTCTTTGTTTGTTTAGAACAGCGGTAGCCATCGTAGCTTTCCTGTGTTTATTCCAAAAAAGCTCTTTATAATAGAGTGTTCTGGGCAGGAACATCTCAGCTACATTTAGTGATTTCTAACATCAGAGAAGATCGCAAGGCTTCAATATAAAGTATGAATAAGGAGGAATAGGATTCATAAGGATAAAGTATTGAAGAGTAAAGCAATGGTATCAGGTGTAAAGAAATATGATTCATTGATAGGACCAGGAGTAGTAACCGCTAGAGTAAAGAAATAGGATCAGGAAGAGACAGATTAGACTTGAAGTTCATTGAATCAGCAATACAATTATGGGTTTCAATTAGAAACTAGAGAATGCAATTCCTGAAGAAATTGCTAGTGGGAATGCTTTATGCTGAAAAGCTAAACTGCTATGCTGAAATGTCATGTGTAAGAAGAAAGTGAAGAATGTAGATCGAAATGATACATGAACACTGGGGGCTTGAATATGTGATGAGAGAAGAAAGTAAAAAGGCTTGGAAAAGCAGCAGAATATTTGAACTGCAAATTTTGAACGAACTTGATGGCGAATGATCTGTCGCCATGCCAACGGCATTTGATGACATCCCATAATACGCTTAGATGCGTTGATCGTTACCAAACCTGTGAAGTTTTGGGCCGTTTGGAGCATTTTCACTGAAGTTATGAGAAAATCGTGTTTCATGGTGAGCATTGTGTTGCCACGGCAACGGCATTTGAAGAAATCTCAAAACTGTCCCGTAGATGTCTTCACGGCTGGACTGTTAGCACACATGTGAAGTTTGAGCACTTTTTGGACATTTTCATAGGAGTTATAGCGACATCGTCTTTTATGGCGAAGGGATGCGTTTCCATGGAAACGGCATATGATGACACCCCATAATTGACGTAGAGCTGTTGAGGGCTGGACCGTTAACCATTATCTGAAGTCTGGTGCTGTTTTGACCATTTTCATAGGCGTTACGACAACATCTTGTTTTATGGCGAGGGATTTGTTTCCATGGAAACGGCATATGGTGAGATGTCAGATTTGACGTAGAGCTGTTGAGGCATGGAGAGGTGATGTACAGGTGAAGATTGTGGGACGACTGGACCGTGTCCATTGGAGCTACAGCGACATCGTGTTTTACGGCGAGGGATGCGTTTCCATGGCAACAGCCTATGGTGAGATCTCAGATTTGGCGTAAAGCTGTTGAGTCATGGACCGGTGATGTACAAGCAAAGTTTGGGGGGCGATCGGACCGTGTCCATTGGAGTTACAGCGACATCGTGTTTTATGGCGAGGGATGCGTTTCCATGGAAACGGCATATGATGACACCCCATAGTTGATGTAGAGCTGTTGAGGGCAGGACCATTAACCATTATCTGAAGTCTGCTGCTCTGAGCATGTCAGTTGGAGTTATGACATCATCGTGTTCCATGACACAGGTGTTTATATTTGAGCTAACTATGTGTCCAGAGATCAAAGGTTTCCATGGTGATGTGCAGTAATCAGTGATAGGAGAGCATTTTAATTGTTCTGAATGAGAGATAAACCTGTTACATGTGAACGTGTTGTTGAAGAACCGTAACAGATATCGGTGAAATTTCAAAGCGTGAAGCATGTCAAGGAACTTGAGCATCTGAAGTGTACTTTTTGTGTACTTTCGGGTCAATAATGTGGCCTTTTTGGCAGATTAACTAAAGGTGTGCGGCTGCTGTGGTGGGGAAAGATGAGGCTGACTTACAATGGGGTTTAATGGAGACATTACTTAATGCCCTCAAGAGGCATTTTGTTTAATTATTTTACTTAATTATTTTTTTATTTTTCAAGCTACGAGATCTTTTCCTACGTTTCTCATGAAAAACTATGTCTCAGGAAAGTAGGGTTTGGGAATTATGGCAGGTTTAAAAGAAAATATGAAGGCAAAATTAAATCTGTCATCCACTCTAGCTGTGACATCACGCACTCTAAAATCTGAAGAAGGCCTCTTTACCAAGGTCTGAACAATGTTTAATATTTCTAAAAGTATTTTAGACCTCAGATTTAAAAGTTGTTTAACATGAATAATGTCAGAAAGATGTGTAACATTTTAAAGTTGGAATGAGGTTTCTGAGTGAAAGTATGAATAAAGTATGAGTAGTTGAAGTCGCAAGAAGATTTTTCAAGTCTGAGGAGTTTCTCCATTGACTTCAATGTAAAAAACGTGGTGAATTATGGAATGTATCTCTGGAATTATGAAAGTTATGAGAAAAGTAATAGCCATCATCAATTCCCGACCGAGCTGAACATTTGAACGGAGTTTCTGCGATGTGGAATGTGGGAGAAGAAGAGGCGCAAAATAACCCGGCGGAATAATAAAGAATTTCGTGCGTCGAATAACAGATAGTTGGAATACTGTATTCCCACTAAATAAAGTATTAGGATCAGGCTGAAAGTAAAGCACAAGGATTTGGAGTAAAGTATCAAGACTTGAATGAGTATGATCGTGAGTAAAGTGAAAGGATAAGGAGTAGTATGATCAGAACAAAGTTGATGGAACCAAGATTAAAGTGTTGGGATCAGAATAAATGTAATGGTGGGATGAGGAGTAAAGAAAAGTCAAGGGATCAGAAGTAATACGATTCAATAGTATTTGAAAGGAGTAGGATTGGGAGTAATGTACTAGATTACATGTACTAGTAAAGTAATATGGTCAGGAGTAAAGAGGTAGGATTAGGAGAAAAGTAACAGGACTGGAAGAACTAGTAAAAGGATTTGATATAAAGTACAAGTATCTGGAGTAAAGTGATAGACCTAGAAGAAATAATAGGTCTGGAAAGAAAATGATTGGGAGTAAAGTTAAAGGAATCAAGAGAAAAGAGATGGTATCCAGTAAAGTAATGGGATAATGAGAAGTGTAATGGGATGTGGAGTAAAGAAGGGAGTTGGGGATAAAGTAAGTGATGCTTGTGGGGTAAAGAAGTAGGAAGGTGTAGGATCTGTAGCCAGAAATGGCAAAAATACACACATCCTTTACTCAAGTAGTACGGATACTTGTGTTTAAAAATACTCTAAAGTAGAAGTACTGACTAAACTTCTTTACTCAAGTAACAGTAAAGAAGTATGGGCTTTGAAATGTACTTCAGTAAAAAGTACCCATAGCTACCAACTGTTTTAAAGAGTACCTGACCTCCCTTTATATTAATAGAACAATAATGTCATTGTTAGCTAATGAATGTTTCCATGCTGAACAACGGAAACATGACAACGTTTCCATTGGTCCCTCTTCTTTAGAGAAGACCAGGAAATGATGGATACACGGATCGTGTTCAAATCAATAGGCACTAATGACTCTAAAGAATAATGATCACGCCACCAAACACACATTCAGACTAAAGGAACCAGCCTGTTTGGAAAATGTAAGAAAGTACAGGTATTTGTGTTAAAAATGTAAGAAGTAAAATTAAAAAGTCGTCAGAAAATAAAGTACTGATACCATAAAAATGTATTTAAAGGTCCCATGTCATGCTTTTCCGGTTATTACCCGTCCCCTTGTGTGTTATGAAGGTTGTTCTGCATGTAAACGGTGCAGAGTCACAAACCCTCAAAGTACACCCTGTAGCGAGTACAACTCTATCACAGGAACGACCTGTCTATGCTGCCCCAGAACGCCTCGTTCGAGATTTCTCTTTTTCTTCCTGGTACTAAGTGATGTAACGACGACCCAAATGGACCCATTGGTCCAAATGGACCAATCCATGGAGCCGTTACGTTACGTCCGCAGAGCCGTTATGTTAAGTTGCATGTCATTTGTTAGATTACATTACATTTGTTAGACGCTTTTATACAAAGCGACTTACATACTCAATACAATTTGGGGTGAAATGTCTTGCCCAGGGACACAACGACATGCTGACTGCAGTGGGGGTTTATGGGCTCAGAACAGTCTCATAATACACACATACACACAGAAGGATTCACACTTGTATTTCATGATCCGCAAAAGGATTCACACTTGTGTTTTTCAATGCACACACAAATGTATTCCGTTTCATATAAATGTAAATAAAATCCAAATACAGAAAAAAGTTTTACATGTGTATTTTTGATCCTCACATATTTGTTTTCCGTTTAAAACCTCTGCACCTGCAACACAAACAGCTTTCTGTGCACGGATCGCTGTGCATTCGTGTGTGGGTTTTTTGAGACTCCCCTGACGGTCAGCCGATTCGTACTTGTAATTATTTCTATCTATAGCCAATCAGATGTCTCCTCAATTCTAAGCCAATCACATGAGCGCGCCCCCACGAGGGTAGATTTCTTGCGTTCGCATGGAGCCTGCCTACAGGCGCTAATCTCAGGACACCCTCCACTCTCAGTACAGCGCCACTTTCCGAACAGGAAATGCACGCAAATACAAGCCTTTATATTATTAAGGTACAGCGCCACTTTCCGAACCATTGATGAATGCTTGTGTACACAAAAACGGCAGGCAAAACCGTTTTAAATGTGTGTTTCCTGTGTGGCGATGGCGAATACAGCTGCTTTATTTATGTCTGTATGAAGTTGTTGTGAGTGTGGAGGGAGCAGCTACAGGTTAGCTTAGCCTAATCGATCAGTGCACTACGAAGCCAGTGCTAGACAGTGACCTCGGGGGGAGCCCCGCCGGTCATTATCGGCCGATATTCACTCTTAATAGTTTGATCGGTGCTCTCTATAAAGGCCGATCAGGAGAGCTGGATCTGATCGATATGGACATAAACGCGAGTGAAGTATAACCGGACGCGAGAGAGAGATCAGATCAGCTGCTGAGTCTGATGGAGACACGCTGCTCTGCATGATCACCTGATGCTCCGCCCTCTGTTTAGCGAGCTGACCGGACTGCGCAAAATGCGTATATGAAGTAATCTTACCCTCGTGGGGGCGCGCTCATGTGATTGGCTTAGAATGAAGGAGACATCTGATTGGCTATAGATAGAAAAAATTACAAGTACGAATCGGCTGACCGTCAGGGGAGTCTCAAAAAAATGCAAAGCGATCCGTGCACAGAAAGCGGTTTGTGTTTGCAGGTGCAGGGGATTTAAACAGGAAACTAATAAGTGAGGATCAAAAATACATATGTAAAACCTTTTTCTGTATTTGGATTTTATTTACATGTATATGAAACGGAATACATTTGTGTGTGCATTGAAAAACACAAGTATGGATCCGGAAATACAAGTTTGAATCCTTCTGTGTGCATGTGTGTATTATGAGACTGTTCTGAGCCCATAGGGGTTTGAACCTGTGACCATCTGATCCGAATCCGTGGATTGGTCCAAATGGACCATTCCGCGGACTTCCTCACACACATACACTCAATCTTTTCTCAACTGCAGCTCCGCCGATTTCTCCTCCCTGAGACGGCGGGACGCGGCGAGGCTGTGAGTCGGTGTGTGAGCACACACACAAACTCCCAGCCAGAATGCGGGTGTGTGTTCGGGCTGGGTTTCACTGTGTCTCACTGTCTCGCAGACGGCCACTGGGCTCATAGGGAGGGGGGGCAGGGAGCTTGTTGGAGCTCCAACAAGCCTTTTAGGACAGAGAGCGAATACACATACTATACAGAGATGCTGTATGAGAAACCAATGCGATTTTGGAAAATTGTACAATATAAATCTATTTTAGTAGACCTCAACAATGGAATTATGATCAGTAGAAATGGCCATGACATGGGACCTTTAAGTACAGTAACGAAGTATTTGTACTCCACTACTTCCCACCTCTGTCGGTAGCTACGTATTAAGATACAACTCTGTGTCTCAGTACCTGTCCAGTCTGCTGGCAGGGCGTCTGGTACTCGGCTGTCTGACAGAGGTCCTTCACTCGCTGGTGTTTGGGAAGGAAGTTTTCCTCCTGAGACACTTCCTTTCCCTCCACCAGCTGGTGCAGCAGCTTCCTGTTAACACACACACACACACACACACACACACACACACACACACACACACACACACACACACACACACACACACACACACAAACAAAGGCACGTTACTAACACTATTGTTTTCTAAATAAAAATGGTACTTTAACTGTTTTAAAGGTCTAGGACAGGGTAGTCCAAACTTTTTTCACAGAGGGCCATACACAGGAAAATATATGAAGGGCTGGGCCACTCACTAGAGGTGAGGTTTATTGCCTCATAAGTTAAGTTATAAGTTCGAAAAAGCAATCCAATGTAGGTAAATTATTCTTGATACTTGAAAATGCTGTTAGAAAAAACATGAATACTGTGTAACATATTTGAACATATATATTCAAGCAGTACAATGCTTATGTTAATAAAGTACCCATAAGCAGAAGTTTATTATACTTAAGTCGTTATACTTTTTTAATTTGCTGAGGGCCGATTCAAAATGGTCCGCGGCCACATTTGGCCCCCGGGCCGTAGTTTGGACAACCCTGGTCTAGGATATGATGCATGCTGTACACATTGTAAATCCCTCTGTCTCTGTGTTTAAGCATAATGTATTACTTTGAGTAGTTTAGTGGCAGGGATACAGCTGTGTAAGCAGATGTGAGACTTACATTATATATTGTATTACTCTTGTTCACTTTATCGATCCCTGAGGGGAGTTTAGGCATTTTTGTTTTTGCAGTTAAAGTAGACGGTGATTTGTGTTTTTATCACAGCAGCATTAGCATTCCAGAGGACACACACTTTGTTGGAAGTGGAATAAAGAACACTTCCTGTTTTACTGTCCTGTTTACGAGGACACACAAGGGATGTCCTTTTTAGGGAAACAACCTCTATTTTTGTTGAGCTGTTTCGGGTGGATAACTATACAGTCGTGCTTCAGGAAGGGATTCTTTTTATAGCAGATTTATCTTCAAAGTTTGGGAGAGAAAGCAGAATATTTAGTTTATGACTGTGCGAAAGTATAACCTGGGATGCTGTATTGAAATTACATTTGTGTCCCCTGCAACTATATATTTAGTGTCTTGAAATTCAGAAAGGTTGGTCACTTTGCATGCTAAGAAAATATAGAAAATAATTCATAATGAGGGATGTGTTTACCCTCTCTCCACCAGAAAGGAGTCTCTCCACAGCTTCGGCTTCTTGTTCACTTGAAACCTGCAAAAGAAGCAAACGTTTAGTCATGATTTTCAATTTTGTATGCATAAATGAAGGCTCCTAACCTTCATAAGTCCTCTTCACGGCAGCTCCTCTTAGTGCCTCGTGCACTCAGCAGTGCTTCGATTACACACATATATATTATATTCATAACAAACTCTGTCTCCTCTCTAAATTCCATCATCTGGTTTCTATTCTGGGATGTTTGTAACTTTAACTTTGAGGAATAATATTTAGATGTTCCTGCTGCAGTTAAAAGAACACGTGGAAACAACTGCAGGATATTTTCCATCACAGAGAAGGAAAGACAGAACAAATAAAAATAAGAAGAATTAACTGTTTTGTAAAAGAAAATAAGTGAAAGTGAACACACTGGCCATACTTAGTCCAACAATGCATTACGGGCAGCTATTTAAAGAACAATTTGAATCACCTTTTCCCAAAAAGGTGCATCCTGAAAAGGACTCATATTTTTCCAGTTTTTAAGAATAATTCACAGCAACCACAGCTCCAGATCTGATCATCCTCCAAAGTTTTAAAACGTTGAGAAAGGGCAAAGAATCTGTTATTTCTGATTCCTCTTTTGAATAAACTTTGTCTGAAGTAGTCTCTCAGGGGTTCTGTTCTCTGTTCCTCTCGCAGGACGAGGAGGAAACAGGAACATATGCTGCACAGCTTCTCCATGTTCTTGTGAGATCATATAGAGCCGATTCAGAAGTTGTTCAAACAGACTTCACAAAGGGCAGGACTGAGTGTTCAATGAATAAAGACATATTTAAAGAAGGAGATCTGGCTCTGTAGAGTTGTAACTTTTTCCTTATTTAAAAGCTTGCCAGTGCGTGAGCTTGTGTGTGAGCTTGTGTGTGAGCTTGTGTATGTGTTTATGTGTGTGTGTGTGTGGCCTAGCATCACCATCCTTGTGGGGACCTAAATCTGTTTACACAGTCACGTGTGGGGACTCGCCTCCCTTATGGGGACATAATGGAGGTCCCCATGAGGAGAATCATTAATGTTAGGGTGAAGACTTGGTTAAGGTAAGGGTTAGGGTTAGGCATGTGTTGGTTATGGTTAGGATAAGTCTCCAGGAAATGCATGTAAGTCAATGTAATGTCCCCTAAAGTGATGTATACATGGTGTGTGTGTGTGTGTGTGCGTGTGTGTGTGTGTGTGTGTGTACCTGTTCACAGGCTTCTCGGTGTCCAGCAGGGACAGGATGGACTTCCCGTCCATGTCTGCAGGCGTGTCCAGGCCGGCGATGTCCAGGATGGTCGGAGCCAGGTCGATGTTCAGCACCATGCTAGGGTTACTGAAACACACACACACACACACAAATATCAATAACATATACATTCAATAACCTAAATAATACCTATTGATTATACTGTCGAGAAACTTTACTTATGAACAAAGTAAAACACCAGGATATTGCATTTGTAATACCTGTAGGTTTGAAATCGGGAAAACCGGGAAAACCTTTCCTACTTTGCGGGATTTGGAATAATTGTTTTAATTTGTATAATCTAGTAGAATCTACATTTTAAAGCCTGCTTTATTTGAGCTGGATTTGTTGTACAAAATAACTTTTTTACAAGG